ACTTGCTCATATGACGATTCATAGAGGTGAGAAACCTTTCTCCTGTGAGACTTGTGGAAAAAGTTTCCGGAGGAAACATAAGTTAGTTAATCACATCAGAATTCACACGGGTGAGAAACCTTTCTCATGTGGGATTTGTGGAAAAAGTTTCACTCAAACAGAACTTAACTTCTCACAACAGAATTCACACAGGTGAGAAACCTTTCTCATGTGGGATTTGTGGAAAAAGTTTCACTCAAAAACACAACTTAACTTCTCACAACAGAATTCACACAGGTGAGAAGCCTTTCTCATGTGGGATTTGTGGAAAAGGTTTCACTCACAAACATAGATTAACTTCTCACATCAGAATTCACACTGGTGAGAAGCCATTCTCATGTGAGGCCTGTGGAAAATGTTTCCCTCATAAAAAAAGTTTAACTGTTCACATGAGATCTCACACAGGTGAGAAACCTTTCTCATGTGGGATTTGTGGAAAAAGTTTCACTCAAAAACAGCACTTAATTTCTCACAACAAAATTCACTCAGGTGAGAAACCTTTCTCATGTGGGATCTGTGGAAAACGTTTCACTCGAAAACAGCACTTAACTTCTCACAACAGAATTCACACTGGTGAGAAGTAGCTGTGCATTGATTTATCAGCTGGCTGATTAATAAATGTTGATTTCCTTAATTTTGGGACATGGGTGAGCAGCAGATACATGCATGTGAAGCTGATCTGATTCCTCAACGTTATTGACCTCAGCCACTGTTCTGTTCTCCGCTGTGAGGTTTGACTATTAGACCAGCTCACCATGTCATGTCTGCACCCTTAGTGAAAAGTGAGGAAAATGTTTTGTGTATAGATCCAGTTTAAGTCATCACATGAAGATTCACACGGGTTGGAAGCTTTTATTTTGTAGATTCAGTAGAAAAGGTTCACTCAAAACAAATGTAACTGTTCACATGAGAACTTGCACAGGTTTGATGGCACAATGTGAACCTCAAGATTCTCAGTAAGTTGCTGTTTGGAAGTGGAGTAATTGCAACTGACTTGGATTTTATTCTGGCAGTTTTATATTTTTATTTTATTTAATCAGACTCAGGGAGAGATTGTCTCTAAAGAAACGATGACTTTAAATGCTTTGAGAGTTAGACTTCTAAAATGTTGGAAACTTTATTGTGTTTTTATTCTTTGTACTTGTTTATTTTATTTCAATGATTTGGAGAAATGGATGCATTTCTTTGACATGGTTTTAATAATTTTCCTGCTTAGAAAATGTATTGATGATATAAATTGAATTTCAGATTGAAACTATTTATATAATTTTAGAAATAAACTATTATAATGATGATATTTTTCTTTTTTCCTGTTTAGTAGAAAACTGTGTGAAAGACTAGATTTACATAATTATAGAGGCTGGAATAAAACCTGTTTAAAACAAAAAGTAAATCAGGAAAACCTTCATATACATAAACAGCAGCAGTCCACAGAGATCATCTCTTCCTCAACGTTGCATACATTCTAATAAAGTCGATATTCTTTTCATTCAACACTTAACAGACTGAGTTCTATATTTATACTAATAAGAGATAAAACAAAATGAGCCATAATTTAACAAAGAATGAACCTAAATAATCAAAACTTTAAAATTCAAAGCAAGTACAATTAATCATTTTAAACAACCTTCAGTACTTAAACTGGTGAGTTAGAAGTGAAGGAGTCATGGAAATAAACTATATTTTGATCTTATATAATAGTAAAGGTCAGGGTTTATCATTCTATTTATTTAATATTCCTGCTGGAACAATGTTCTTCCTCTGTATTTTCTTTGAAGTATTTGGTGAATTACTGAGTAACTGATCATAACACCTAATTCAATATTCAGTGTCTCCTCAGACTGACAAAAGTATAACAGTTATGTGAATATTCTGGTATTTTAAAGAGAATTTCTGAAAATATTGATACCAATAAGGAGTTTGGTTTAGAGGCCAAATTTACCACAAGGGCCAATGTGATCGGTTTCATGACGACACTTAAAAAAGAATGAAACAAAACAACAGATCAATATTTTATAATTTGATATAATAAATGAGCCAAAGAGCCTCTTGAGTCTCCAGAGATCCAGGTTGCAGAAACCTGCAGATTGAACAGCAGCTAAAAGTGCAGCAATTTATTAAAGTAAAATTAGGAAGGTTAAATAAATCTACCTCTAAATATTAACTAAAGGCTTTAAATTTAAACCAACAGAACAATAAAAGCATCCTGGTTAACTTCATACTTATCTGAAATATCTTTATAAAAATAGAAAATATATATGTGACTTTCACAGAATCAGGATTTTATTAGTTATTGCAAGAACAACAAAACATCATCAGTGTTTTCTCCAGACTGATCTATTGTAACTAAACCACAGGTGTCAAACTCCAGTCCTCAAGGTGACCTGCAGTGTTTAGATGAGCCACAGGTACAAAACACTGCAATGAAATCACCATAATTACCTCCTCCTTGTGTGGATCAGATCTGCAGAGCCTTAATGACCTAATTACTCTATTCAGGTGGTGCAGCAGAGGCTCAGCTAAAGGTTTCAGGGCATCAGCCCTCCAGGACTTTAAAAGAAGAGACTCAGCAGAAAATTTAAAGCCAAACTAATAATCACTTCCAGTTTCTTCAGCACAGCAACAGTGAAACATGTGAAAAATAAAAACAGAGCAAATGTCTGGCTTTACTTTTCCTCTTGAAGACTGTTTTGCAGTTTAGTTAAATGTTTCTGTGTTTAATGTAAAAATGTCTTCAGTTCAGCCTCAGAGAGTTTATCAAGCAGCAGGAAACTCCTGCTGAAGAAACATTCACAGAGTGGAAAGAAATCAACGTTAAGATGGAGGAAGAGATGGACGATCAGCGCAGACTGATGGATTTTACCCGGATACCCAAGATCATCTTGCAGCGGATAGGTACGAAACAGCTGCAGTAGCTGTCATTATTTTAATTGTTTGTATACATTGATATTAATTTAATTGGTGAATCAATAAAACCAGAGCACACAGAGCATGCTCATTGCTCTGTGATAGTTCTGTGCTGCCTGGCTTCATGCAGCAGGAGAAAAAGTGAGAACTGTCACAGTGTTTGGTTATTTCTGCTTGTTGCTCCTTGGTCTGTGTTCATGATGGAGCGTTGTTCACCACTAGTGCATTGCCTTAATTGCTATGTTTAATAGTGCAGACAGTGGTGGTTTCTGATATGAGCAATATGGGCAACCGCCCAGGGCGTTAACTTTTAGGGTTGGCATGAGACTTCCATGGATTGTAGCACAGAGCAAAGTAGAACAAAGAGTTTGAATTGATAATATTGGTTAAATTGATTTGTTTTTATGGGAATGTGGATCTTTCAGACCAATTTGATTAGCACTTTTGCTAATATTTCACATTTTATTGTCATGTGGCGGCTGGTCTTGGTCTCTGCTTAGATGGTCTTGACTATAACACTATGTAAAGCTATTTAAAGGGCCGTTTCATTTAACTAAAAAGAAATGTCATAATACTAATGGTCAGATATTGACTTAGCAAGCAGAGTTAATAGAGACGGTTCAGTTTAAATATTTAGTACTTTACTGTAAGTTACAGTGTGGGACCATTATTTGATAAGCGCCATCACATTCTGTGTCCATAAGAATAGCAAAGTATGATGTAAACTTGCAACAGCGCCTCCTACAGTCACAATGTGCAGTGGTCACAGAATATGGTGTAACGTCCCTGTTGGTGAGAAGCGAATCTTGAAGGGGAGTTAATGTCAGCTAGCCAGGCTGCATATTTCCAAATGTTGGCACATTTGACGGCATTAAGTTTAATTGACGGTAAATTTATTAACCACATGCAGACATTGTTTATTCTAAATAAGGTAAATAACAATCTCTCTGAAAGACGATGGAAGAGATTTCATTTTAAAATGTTTGCTGAGAATTACATTTTCCCCTCCTGGGGGTTTCTGTGGGCTCTAGTGTCCCTTATAAGAAAGAAGGCTGACAGGAATGTAGTAAGGAAAGACATGCGGCAAATATTGTCGGGTCCGGAAATCAAACTCGTGACGGCTGTGTGGAGGAGTGAAGGCCTCCATTCGTGGGTTGCGCTACTACAGCACACCCCCTGATGAAGAATATTTTCATTTCAGTTTTTGTTAAACTGATGGGTTCATTGTGTGACCTCATATTTTGACTTTTTGTCCAGATCTCCCACAATGCAGTGTGTGCAAAGAGGAGGAGGATCTAAATGAGATAAGAAACCCAGAGAGAAACTTCACTTCAGATCCAGATCATCCAGAACCTCTGCAGATAAAACTGGAACAAGAGGAACCAGAACCTCTGCAGATAAAACTGGAAAAAGAGGAACCAGAACCTCTGCAGATAAAACTGGAACAAGAGGAACCAGAACCTCTGCAGATGAAACTGGAACAAGAGGAACCAGAACCTCTGCAGATGATACTGGATCAAGAGGAACCAGAACCTCTGCAGATGAAACTGGAACAAGAGGAACCAGAACCTCTGCAGATGAAACTGGAACAAGAGGAACCAGAACCTCTGCAGATGATACTGGATCAAGAGGAACCAGAACCTCTACAGATGAAACTGGATCAAGAGGAACCAGAACCTCTACAGATGAAAGTGGATCAAGAGGAACCAGAACCTCTGCAGATAAAACTGGATCAAGAGGAACCCGAACTTCTGCAGATCAAAGAGGAAGAGGAGCAACTTTCCATCAGTCAGGATGAAGAGCATCTTGTGATGAAACAGGAAACTGATGACATTTTGAACAAACAGCAGAAAAACTCAACAGAGACTTCAGAACAAGAAACGCACATGAAAGCTCAACCAGACCAAAATCTATATTCTTGTCAAATTTGTGATAAAACCTTTTCTAGAAATAATTCTTTGATGAATCACATGAAAACTCACACGGCTAAGAAACCTTTCAAATGTTCCACCTGTGGAAAAAGTTACCCTAAAGAGAGTCGTTTAAATGATCACATGAGAATTCATACAGGTGAAAAACCGTTCACTTGTGCAGCTTGTGGAAAATGTTTCCATCTAAACAACTCTTTAAACAGACACAAGAGAATTTTCTTTGTTGAGAAATCTTACACATGCCCAATCTGTGGAAAAAAATTTGTGTCTAAATGTCAGTTACTTGCTCATATGACGATTCATACAGGTGAGAAACGTTTCTCTGTGAAACTTGTGGAAAACGTTTTCAGAAGAAATCTAAGTTAGTTAATCACATCAGAGTTCACACCGGTGAGAAACCTTTCTCATGTGAGACCTGTGGAAAAAGTTTCACTCAAAAGCAAAGTTTAACTCTTCACATGAGATTTCACACGGGTGAGAAGGTTATCACTTGTGGCACTTGTGGAAGAAATTGTTTGAATAAATCTCATTTAGTTCAACACATGAGATCTCACACAGGTGAGAAGTCTTTCTCATGTGGGGCCTGTGGAAAATGTTTCCCTTATAAAAGAAGTTTAAATTGTCACATGAGAACTCACACGGGGGAGAAACCTTTCTCATGTGCTACCTGTGGGAAAAGTTTTGCTTTTAGGTCTGATTTACGAAATCACATGAGAACTCACACAAGTGAGAAGCCTTTCTCATGTGTGATTTGTGGGAAAAGTTTCCCTTATAAAAAAAGTTTAAATCGTCACAGGAGATCTCACACAGGTGAGAAGCCTTTCTCATGTGGGATATGTGGAAAAAGTTTCAGTCAAAAACAGCACTTAACATCTCACAACAGAATTCACACTGGTGAGAAGTAGCTGTGCATTAATCTATCAGCTGGCTGATTAATAAATGTTGATTTCCTTAATTTTGGGACATTGGTGAGCAGCAGATACATGCATGTGAAGCTGATCTGATTCCTCGATGTTATTGACCTCAGCCACTGTTCTGTTCTCCGCTGTGAGGTTTGACTATTAGACCAGCTCACCATGTCATGTCTGCAGCCTTAGTGAAAAGTGAGGAAAATGTTTTGTGTATAGATCCAGTTTAAGTCATCACATGAAGATTCACACGGGTTGGAAGCTTTTATTTTGTAGATTCAGTAGAAAAAGGTTCACTCTAAATAAATGTAACTGTTCACATGAGAACTCGCACAGGTTTGATGGCACAATGTGAACCTCAAGATTCTCAGTAAGTTGCTGTTTGGAAGTGGAGTAATTGCAACCGACTTAAATTCTTAAATGTAGCAGGTTTTGCTTACAAAGCATTTTAATCTGGATATTTAGCTGAAATTCTTAAAAATTTTATTCTGCCGGTTTTATATTTCCATTTTATTGAATGAGACTGAGGGAGAGATTGTCTAACAAACAATGAGTTTGAATGCTTTGAGATTTAGACTTCTGAAATTTTGGAGTCTTTATTGTGTTTTTATCCTTTGTACATATTTTTTATTTTAATGATTTGGAGAAATGGATGCATTTCTTCGACATGGTTTTAAATAAATTTTCTGCTTACAAAATGGTTTGACGATGTGGATTGAATTTCAGATAAAAAAGTCATTGAAACTTTTTCTATAATTTTAGATGATAAAGTATAATGATGGTCTTTTTCTATTTTTCTGTTTAGTCAAAGACTGTGACAGAATCGATTTACATAGAGACTGAAATAAAACCTGTTTGAAACAAAAAGTAAATCAGGAAAACCTTCATATATAAACAGTTAACTTCTCACATGTCATTAATTTGATTTCAGCACCTCTGAGATCTAGAATTATAAGGCTGAGATATCAAGGTAAACAAAGAGAACCCAGTAGCTGCTGGTAGGGGCCCTCCAGACATTATTACAAAATATAAATAGAAAACTGGTTTTATAACTTCAACATCAGACCTATGTTTTTATTCACAAGTGTACGTTAGAAAAATTAATTATTGCCCAAAATTTGACCGTTAGAGGTCACAGTTCAGCCCCGCTCTTCCTCGCCACGGACCCGGTGTCTGAACAACGTGGAGGCAGAAGGACTGGGAATCCTCATAATTAGACCAAGGGCAGCCAGACTCATTAGTTTTGCTAGGTGTTATATTTAGAGGCACAAGAAGGCCTCCTGACACAAAAGACTCAAGTTGAAAACAAAAATAAACTCAAAAAGGGCTCTGGGGCATCAAGGGTAAAAGGGGCAGGGCTCAAGCCCTCTCCAGACCCCCTCTGCATGTGCCTGCATATGAATGCTTGTCTTTCTAAGTTACCATCCAATAAAATATCTGAAAATACAATTTAAACGATGTTAGAAAAGTGGCTCTGCAAACTCCGGCATTATTACTTCCTGCACCTCCTGGTTTTAGCTGTAGATTGTTGATCCACTTTTCTCTTTGTTAGGTGAGTTTTTTTCTAAATTAACTTCCTTGTGACCGACTACCTTCAAAACACAAAGATAAAGTTTTTCTTTCTCTCTATTAGAATGGTTGGAACAACCACACATGGCACAGACTTAAGACATTTTTATGTTTAAGTCAAAATGCCTAAATGTGCTGCATTTACTTTCTGACCCCCACCTCCATGGTAAGGCATCGGTGCTACATCATCTGAAACCCAGCAATTTATGGGAAAAAAGAATAATACACTGCTTTAAAATGTAAAATACTTTATTTTAAGTCATACATGTAAAAGTCAACAATGTAAAAGCTGAACTCAATAACTACATGACACAGAACTGCAAGACACCTGAAATCCACAGAAATTAAACCTTCCTGAAGACATTCCCCTCTTTAACTTCAGTATCTAATGGGACACTGATGGGAACCTTAAGTACAAATGTGACTGAGAAATAAACAAAAAACTGATTTTAGAAAAACAAAGCTGGTAGACAAAAATGGACCTCAAGTCTATCTTAGTACAGACATTCAGAGCATCGACTTGGCTTTGGATGAATGGATATTTTTGTGCAGAATTGGCATGGATTTAATTTATAAGTAAAGGTAAGATGGGGAAAAAAACATGTTTTTGTTTAGTTTTTAATGAAATGTGCATTTTGTGGGCCACAGTCTGTATGTCTAAAGAATTCAGTAAAGTAGAAATGTTAGCTAATCTACCACAGCAATGATTTATTAATAAACACTAAGACTAAAACAAACTACTGCAAAAAACTCAATGTTCTGTTCTGTGACCAAAATTCTTTATTTTTTTATGTTAAATCCTAAAACATGGCATTGTTATCAGTTGCTATTGCAACGAGTCTGCATGTAGCTTGGGTGATGCAGAGTGAGAAAGTGGTTTAGGTTTCTCCCTTTGCTGTGGATCATAACACGAAACAATACCTACATTTCTAAGTTTTCACCTGGTTACTACAGCTATGGATGACGTGTAAAAGAACGGTCTTTCTGCCCTCCAGCGTTGTATGCATGAGCAAAATTTCTGAGTAACCAATAACATACATGGTGTCTGTATTTATACATCGTAAAGCCTCACCGCACGTCACTGTTTTGCATCCATATGAATCTTTATGTGTTTAAGTAATTGTTGTTTCATCCTGAAACTCTTTCCACAGGTCCCACATGAGAAAGGCTTCTCACCTGTATGAATTCTCATATGCCGAGTTAAAGTCCCTCTGACACTGAAACTCTTTCCACAGGTCTCACACCAGAAAGGCTTCTCACCTGTGTGACTTCTCATATGCCGAGTAACTAAAAGTAACTCTGTCACTGAAACTCTTTCCACAGGTTGAACAAATGAAAGGCTTCTCACCTGTGTGAATTCTCATATGCCTAGTTAAAGTCGTTTTTTGTCTGTAACTCTTTCCACAAGTCCCACATGAGAAAGGCTTCTCACCTGTATGAATTCTCATATGCGCAGTTAAATTCGCTTTTACACTGAAACTCTTTCCACAGGTTGAACAAGTGAAAGGCTTCTCACCTGTGTGAATTCTCATATGCCTAGTTAAAGTCGTTTTTTGTCTGTAACTCTTTCCACAAGTCCCACATGAGAAAGGATTTTCACCTGTGTGAATTATCATATGCTGAGTTAAAGCCGTTTTTACATTGAAACTCTTTCCACAGGTCCCACAAGTGAAAGGCTTCTCACCTGTGTGAATTCTCATATGCTCAGTTTAAAGCCACTTTTTGTCTGTAACTCTTCCCACATGAGAAAGGCTTCTCACCTGTGTGAATTCTCATATGTTTAGTTAAAGTCCCTCTTTCATTGAAACTCTTTCCACAGGTTGAACAAGTGAAAGGTTTTACTCCTGTGTGAATTCTCATGTGTGTCTTCAAGTTACTGTTTCCAGAAAAGGTTTATCACAAATTTTACAAGAATGTATTTTTGCCCTTTGTGAGTTTTCTTCTGCGGTTTTTGTTTTTCAGCATCAGTTCTGTCTTTCTGCTGTTTGGTTTTCTCATATCTCTCCTTTGGTTTCTGTTCTTCCTTTCTCTTTTTTCCTGGGTCTTCAGAATTGCTTCCTTCCTGATCATGGTTCTCAGTTTCTGCAGAGCCATGAGAGATGAGTTGGTTCCTCTGTGGTTTTGTGTCATTGAGAATCTCCTCTTCTTCACACACACAACATTGTGGAAGATCTGGGAAATAGACAAAAAAAAAAAAGTTTTTTAAATGTCAATCAAACAAGAAATCCACTTTGATGCCTTCATGTATCGAAACAGGATTTTCTTAGGTTATTCGAAAATTACAATCTTACAAGAATGAACATTAACTCAACTAAGAAGTTAACGTTCTATGTTCTAGAACATTGGATGTTCTAGAATGGAACTATGACCAGAACTAGTTTCATTCTGGTCATTGCTCCATTCTAATGACCAGACTGGAACTAGACCTGAGTGAAAATATGATATTAAGAATCTCCAGGTGAGCAAATAAGATGGCAATAGCTTAATCTAGTAGCTTCCTGACAAATATTACATAAAATCTTCTTCCTCCATGTAGAGAGAGGAAGAAGACGCCTACATGGAGGAGGAGTCAGATGTTCAGGTCACCTGACTTTTGGACATGTACCCTGACCACACACACGGTGTCGCAATCCGACTGGGAGATTGTGGACCAACGCTGGTGGTGATGCGGGCTGTGTGCCTGTAATGGGCGCAGGGGAAGTGCACCCATTATATGTCACCAGATATATATCACATTAAAGAGTGACATAAAATGCCTAAAGGGAAACCATAAAGTAATTTTTAATCTCACCCGCTGATATTGTCAGACATTGCTCCGCTCACACACTCAACACAAACGTTCAAAAGCACAACTAAATCTCAGCCTTTACTTTCCTGGGATTCACAGCAGAATTGGTAGCAGTGGGTGATTGTTGTTAATCGCACACATGCAGAAAATAATGGCAAAATGAACCAATGGAAAATATTTAGACTTAGAGAGTCTTAGACTTAGACTTGACTTTATTGATCCCTTGGGAAGACTCCCTCAGGAAATTATAGTTACCAGCATGAATATTGGACAATTTGGAAGATTAAATATGAAAGATGAAAATGTACAATGATAAAATTATTTAACGAGTTTATTTAAGACACAAGTTAGTTAATAAGTCATTTACTAAGTTTACATTATGAAAATGGAAATTTAGCAGCCAGACAAGACAGTTACTAAATATGCTTTTGATTGTTGTGATCATTATTATCACCTGGATCCACTTCCTGTCGTGTCACCATAAAATAATTCCCCAATGAAAGTGGAGGGCGGGGCTTTGGGCGGGTCTAACACTGACCTTCTTTAACTTAAATTTGAGCCATTATTCTGTCAGAATAACTGACATGCATTGAGTACAAATGAGCATTAAGAGGCGCTGTCAGCTCAG